CCCCCCCCCCCCCCCCGCACTCGCACTCACACTCACACGCCTGGGGGCACTGGGGGGCGCGGGGCGGGCACGGCGCTGACCCGTCTCCTGCACCCAGGTGGGCCCTGTGGTTCTTCAAGAACGACAAGAGCAAGACGTGGCAGGCCAACCTGCGCCTCGTCACCAAGTTCAGCACCGTCGAGGACTTCTGGGCGTGAGCGCGGGCCAGGGCCAGGCTGCAGCCCCCGCCCCCCAAGCCCTGGGCTGGCGCTCCCTTCCTGGCACCCACGGGGCACAGGCGGCAGGGCTGGTGCCATGGCCACAGGCAACACCATGCTGGGGTGGGGGCAGCCCAGGCGCAGCCCCTGGTGCTAGCAGGGCTGGTGCCCCTGGCCTCTTGCTCTGCGGCCTGGGCGGGTGGGGGAAGCTGTGGTGCTGCCTCGGCCTGGGTCCCCTGCGGTGGGGGCAGGTGCTGGTGCCCTGCAGCCTGGGGTTGCCCTTGTGGGAGGGGGGCACACGGGGGTCCTGCCCCAGCCCCAGCGGCTCCCCTTGCCCGTGCAGGCTGTACAGCCACATCCAGCTGGCCAGCAAGCTGACGTCGGGCTGCGACTACTCCCTCTTCAAGGTGAGGCCTGTGGGCAAGAGGGCAGCTGGGATGAGGCCGGGCACCCCCGGGCGCTGCGGCAAGGGGCTGCCAGGGAGCGGAGCAGGGAGCCCCAGGTGTCGTGCTTGCTCCGGGGGGGTGGCGGGTGGCGGGTGCCAGTGCCAGTGCCAGTGCCAGTGCCGGCGGGGTGGATGATGCAGAGCTGGGTGGGGAAGGGGAAGGGGAAGGGGAAGGGGGGCTGCTCCTGGTGATGGCTGCGCCCCCAGGACGGGATCGAGCCCATGTGGGAGGACAACCGGAACAAGTGTGGCGGGCGCTGGCTCATCACGCTGGCCAAGCAGCAGCGGCACACCGAGCTGGATCACTTCTGGCTGGAGACCGTGAGTGCGCCCAGCCCTGCTCTCCCCGTGCCCCGAGCGGCTCTGCTCCCCACGGGGCCTGTCCCCTTGGACCGGAGCGGAGCTCGAGCCCCCCAGTCCCGGGGGGGCACTCCAGGCTCCCTGCCCGTCTTCACCCCAGGGCGCTGGGGTGTGGGCAATGGCGCTTGCCCCCGAGCGTGGCAGGGCTGTGCCCTGGCCCCCCGTAACGCGCGCCCCCGCAGCTCCTGTGCCTCATCGGGGAGTCGTTTGGCGAGTACAGCAGCGAGGTCTGCGGCGCCGTCATCAACATCCGCGCCAAGGGCGACAAGATCGCGGTGTGGACCTGCGAGGCCGAGGACCGAGACGGCGTCACCCACATCGGGTAGGGCAGGGCGGGCTGCTGGGGGCAGAGGGGGGCTGCCCCAGGCAAGGGCCAGGAACGGCGGGCGGGGGGCCG